AGAAAAGGAGAGGTGAGAGGCAGTCTGGGGATGTGGTCTCAGGGGTAGAGTGCTTGTCGAGCATGTGCCAGGTCCTGGATTCAATCCCCAGTACTATGGGGGTGGGGGGAAGGAGAGATTAGAAACAACCACCCAAGGATCCAGTCATAGGGTAAGAGTTAAATACATAATGGAATGGAGCACTATGCAGGAATTAAAAAAACCAAGGAAGATCTTTATGAATTGATATGAAGTTCATAGGTTCTGTTAAATTATAACCATATGTAACATTATGTGAAAATCATAATGTGTTGAAAACCCATACAGAATACTTGTATTTCTCAGGGAAAAAAGTAATATAATAATAAAGGGATCAAGCTATCATCTATGTAACCTAGTCTTAGCACTATTAATTGGGAACAAGCAGATACTAGATTTCTTATAATTTTTTTAAAAGTAGGAAAATTTATTGGGAAAAGGAATGGGGAATAGGAATGGGAAATAGGAAAAGCTCCTGAGAGACAAGACGGGTCCCGAATGGGTTGTCAACAAGCCCACTTCTGAAAGGAAGTTTTACAGAGCAAAATCATGAGGTGGATACATCGTGGGTCAAAATTGTGATCAACCAGTAAGATTGTGAGTATAGGTTACTTAGGTAATATATTGATCCAATGGTAGCAAGGGCATATGGGTGACATCATTAACCTTGGTTAATAATCTATAGTCTTGGTCTTCTCTTTAGTTTTAGTTCTAGTTTTAGTCTTAGTGGTCTTAGTCTTAGTGGATGGGAGAGGATGGCCCACTCCTAATGAGATAATGGGAAATCTCCAAAGGGTGGTACCAATTATCCCAAGCCTGGGTTCATTCCTTAGGGAAGTGTGCAAATCTAACCATTAAGACTTTACTCTTCTTCAGATGCACCTCCAGCCACAGTTTTGATGTGTTCTCATCTCCTGTACTGACTCCCTTGAGGGCCCAGCCCTGTCTGCCTACTATATTCCTACCTAACTTAGCTGTCTATAATATTCCCTCCTCTGAAGGGGTATCCCTAACTGATACAGGAAAGGGGGTATAGTTTCCATCTAGCTGCTTCAAGCTGAGAAGGGTCAGTGGAAACCACAGTTAGGGCCCTTCTCCAGACAGCTAACCTAATGGGCCTTAGAAGTCATGTGGCAGTTTAGCAATTATAAACTCCCTTTACAAGGTCTATCTAGTAGATCCTGGATAAAGGAGTCTGGCACATTTGTCGCTGGTTCCACCTGCATGAACGCTTGGAGTTTGGTAGGCTCCAGGCAAGAATAAACAAATTTTCCAAGAAATTAAACATGTATAATCAAAATATGAGCACCAGAATGGAAAGGCAGGTTGGAGAAAGAGCCATGTCCAGACTGCTCTTAGATGGGATAGCAACTCTTGGCACTTAGAGCCCTCCACTAATGGAGGTTATCTGCAAGTCTGATACTTCTTGTCGTAAGTCCTTCTAGCTTCATCTGTAAGAAGACAGAGCATTTGGTGGTCTTGAAGGACAATTTTAGCTAAGGAATTTAAAGACTCTTGCTGAGCTTTTATAGATCCCACTGTAGTTTTTCTTTAATGTAGCACAGCAGTGGTCAGCTACTGCTATAGCTGGAAACCACCAGAAGGGGTCAGTGAATGGAGCCCCTTTTTATATCTAGCTTTTGTTACTACGGTTTTGTTTTCATACATCTTTTGGTTATAGTTTTCTGCTGAGTGTTTAAGGCCAAGTTAAAGTGAGACCTGTGTTGATCAAAATTAGGTTTCTTATAAGAAATACACAATTTCACCTATGGTATATTCCAGCCCCAAATGCTTAATTTCAATCTATCAAGTCTTCAAATCTATCTTCTCAATTATTAGAATTCAGCAGAGGTAAGAAAAAGCTAAAAGACTCTACAATGACACAACCAAGTAAGTATTCCTAGTTTGCATAAACCAGTTGGCCAGGCCTACTGCTGTATGCACCTGCAGTTCTCGTACTTAGGAAGCTTCGTACTTCGTGAGGCACGAAGATTGCTTGAATGCAGGAGTTTGTGAACAGTCTGGACAATGCAGTGTGTCCCCCAAAAATCCTCCAAGAAACAAAACATGAAAAAGAAAAATAAATTGTAAACGCTAATTATATGACCATTTGTGAAGTCTGAATATGGGTTTATGTGATAGATGGCCACAGTTTCTTGCAGTTCCCCTCAAAACATGAACACAGGTGGTCAGGTATTAGCAGGGAGGCTGTGACCTCAGGACTTGGTCTCAGGGGCCTTGCAGCCTCCACCTTTGCCCTCTTGACAATCTTAATAAGCTGCACTCAGACCACCAGGCTATGAAGAAGCTGATCTATGGTACTGGAGGATGAAAGGCCATGTGTAGAGAGTACAGAGATGGCCCAGCCAGCAGTCAGGTCTGAGAATAAAACCAGCTTGATCCTCTCACCCACCTAACTTGCTGCTTTAACACCATGTGGATAAGCCTGGGCTATGCCAGCAACCATGAGAAAATGAATTATTATTTTAACTACTAAATTTTAGTAGTTTGTTATACAACTACAATTTTTTTTTTTTTCAGAGACATTTCTTGCTTTGTGGTTCAGGCTGACCTTGAAATCACTATGTAGCCTAGGATGGCCTTGAACTCATAGCGATCTTCCTGCCTCAGCCTCCCAAGTGCTAGAATTACAGGAGTGTGCCACCATGCCCGGCTCTATTTAGCTATAAATTTTGTAGATGGGGATTAAATGAAATTAAAATTTACTAGCTGGGAAAGACAGATGTCATTAATTGAAAAAAACCTGATTACAAATAGTATGTACAAGACACTCTCATTTTGATAAACCATACAGGTACACAGTCATACAGAAAATATCTAGTAGGATAAATACTATTAACATACATATATATTCAGCTTATGACAATGTCATGTTCCAATAAGCCCATGGTAAGTTAAGAATATAAGTTGGAAATGCAATTAATATACCTAACATGACATCCTAGCACACAGTGCACTAACAGTCTCAGTGGTGATTGTGGAAATAACTGGGAGCTGCACCTCCTCTCACCACCCAGCATCAAGAAGACTGGACTTCATTTCACTAGTCTGAGAAAAGATCAAAATTCTAAATCTGAAGTACGACTTCTACTGAATGTGTTATTGCTCTCACACTATCTTAAAGGTGAAAAATGCTAAGTCAAACCAACTTCCATCATGGACTATTGTAATAAGGGAAACTCTGTGTAATGAAATTATGTTTTTATTTTCTACATCTTTATATACACATATGGTACTTTTGCAGTAATAGAGTATTTTTTATACTATGTCACTCATTTTAAAAACAAAGTATGGGGCCAGGGATATAGCTTAGCAGCACAGTGCCTGCCCGGCAAGCACGAGGTCCTTAAGTTCAAGCCCCAGTACCAATAAAATAAAATAAAATAAAAACAAAGTCTGTAAGTGCTACGGAGTATCTAGCAAAGTATTTGGAAAAATGGCTCACTCTGCATTAGAATGCTGCAAACAATAAGTGAAGCAGAAAAATAATTTATAATCAAGTCCTGTTCTAAATTTCTGAAAAGGTTTCTTCTTTTAAGTTGAAAACAACTGCCATGCACATGTACAAAGAGAAATTGTGTCAAGTAAGTCTATGTGGGCAGAAGGGCATGTTTTCTACAGCACTGCCACTTGTTACCAAATGAATATGCTGTCTGGGCCACAATGAATTCTTGAGCTGGCACAGATGGGTTTTCCTGTTTTGTTCTGTACTTGCTTATCTTATGGACCACTGATAAAGAGTGAAAAAAGTCAGTAACATACAGCAAATATATGCAAGAGGTAAAATGAAGGCCAAATGGTTCTATTCATTGAAACCAGGTATTAACATTAATAGGGACAGGACAGGAAAGATGTTTCCTATATATAGACATACAGATGGAACTAGGATTTCACAATGAGCCTGAAGTGTAACTCCACGGCTGGAAAAGAGAATGCAAATGCAGGTATCATTAAATGAAAATGTAACTTCCCAAATGAGATCATTTAATACAATTGGCAAATTTATATGAAAAATTTGTTTGTACTGCTACTAATAAAAGAATGGAGGGAGCAATATTTGGCCAATAAAAATCAGACTTTGGAATGAGTCAGACCCAAGTCTCAATCTTGATTTACAAGGTTATGCAAGATTTGTAACTTCAGGACGTGCAGCCTCCAGATGAGAGGGTCCTGCGGTACTACAAGGGTCACAGATCCTACGGTTAACTCAGCAGAAGGATGGGCATACTACAGGCACTCAAGAACAGTTCATGCTTCCAGAGCAGGATGTGAAACTCCAGCTTATCTGAGTCTCACTACAATATTAGGAGAGAATTATAATACAGACATACAAATTAACAAGGAACATGAAATATTCAACGATGGCAAAGCATAATACTAGAAGCACTGCCATTTACTTCGTGAAGGAACAGAAAATTGTGCAACTTCTCTACAAAACTGTCTGGCAACGTATGTTGAGGACTTTCCTAAAGATCACAAACAACAGTCCAACCAGGAAAGGAACAGATTGAGAAAGTGGCTATGTGGGAAAAGGGAGTTGACTGATCAGTGGCTGCTCCCTTTGTTTACGGGCTTTCCGACTGGAAGTGAAGTCATTGTGTTCCTTTCTATTTTTACCATTATTGGTTTCCATAACTGTCCCCTTGTCAGCCCAAACCTGTACATTCCTGAGAATTCCTAAAGTAGAAATCATGGCCCACTTCACCATTCAGCTCCTTGCAATGGAGTAATGATAACTGTTTCTTACGATTAACAATGGAGTGTGGAATAGAAGCACAGAGCTTCTCCATCTTGGACAGTCTCAAACCCAGACAATGTACAGTGTTCAAGGAAAGAGAAGAACAATAATTAAAACATTTCATTTCTTCTAAAGCTGAAGTATGTTGCCCTTTGAGAGAGTTACAACTCAAGACCCGAGAAAAAATGTTCTCATAAAAAGCATGACAACAACTGACACCTACCTAAGATGAGATGAAGTTTAGTTTCTGTCTGGAAGGCGTAGTGCAATGTCACCAAAAATGGCGACTGCCTAATGTGCTCCAGGACTTGTCGCTCTGTCCTCGTATGCTCTGTGGTTTTGGCCTTTTGAACAATTGTTGCCTTTTTCAAAACTTTCATGGCATACAACTTTCCAGCATCATGACCACTTATTTTACGAACTAGAAACACCTTTCCATAAGCTGAAAATGAAAAGAAAAAAATAAAATGGATTAAAACACTATCTAGGCAGAGTAGTAATCTATGGAAGTAAAAATTCATATAATGTACAAGAAATACTCAAAAGAAAACATATCCTTCAGACTGTTTCATATGGTTCTTTCATAAAGTTCTTCAACTTCACACCACATGTATTTCTAAGTCTAGCACTCAGTATTGACATATGTAGCAATATTATGCTTTTACTCTTTAAATTTTATTCTCTCCTCAATATTTTTAGCTGTAGAAAACTAGCTGTTATTATGGTCAGCTAGCCACAATCTAATTCTGGAACAACTAGGACATTTTAGACATCAGATAAAACTCCCCCACCCCCCCTCTATATATATGTATATATATCCTATTAATGCAAAAAATGAAGACAGTTATTAATAAGAATCTCATACACATGTATAAGTCAAGTACCTCAACTATTTCTCCATACTTACCAAAAAAAAGGAAAAAAGCCTAAAGCAACATAAGCTAACATTATATAAAGGAAATCTTTGGTCTTAATAAACATTAAAAGATCCTAAATTGCAAGCAATATACAGAAGCTCCTTTATGTCTCTGGGCAGCAATTCATGGCTGACTGGGTGAAGCTCAGCACACTTTTCATAAGTGAGGGCTCTGTTGGGCACATTCCTGTACGTGGTGCCAATCCCCCAGGTGGAAGGATTAGAGCCTTGCGGGCACCACGCCTCACTGGGCAGAGCAGGTTTCTGTATTTATTTTCCCTGAGGAAAGGGGCAGGGCAGGAAGATGTGGAAGGAAAAGGGAGGAGGAAGGGCAGGCTCACCATACTAAATACTGTGGGAGGGAAGAGATAAGTCCCTAATTTATATCCACAAGGTATAAATTCTCTAGTTAATCCTTTGAAAAATGCCTCTTAAAATGGCTAAGCAAACTTCCACTTTGGAAATGAGCTGCTTTAAGGTCTTGGGGGAGCTCATTGGTAGAACACTTGCTTGGTATGCATGAGGCCCTGAGTTCAATTCCAACACCAAAAAAAAAAAAAAAAAAAGTTGAATGTTTTAATCAGACCAGTCTTGAGTGTTCTGTTTTGAGCCAGACCACTCCATCCACAGCCTGTATTCATACCTCTACAGTATTCGGCATGTAATTCTATTATAATGCACCCATCAGAGTAAGAGCTTTATGGGAAGGGCTCTTATACTCTGTATGTTATTCAGTTCAGTACTGTGGGAACTGAACTGTACCAACGCATGATAGGCCACAGATCAGTGCTAGCTTGTACTAAGCCCAAGGAGGAGAGCCCGCACTTGTTAAGGACTTGCCTCTGCCAGACTCTTTACACATACCGATTCACTTACTCTCACCACAGTCAGCAAAGTTAGCAGGTTTAGCAATTCTAATTCACAGATGAGGGAACAGGTTCAGAATTGAGAAGGAATTGGCGAAAAGATTGGGGCAAAAGGCAGAACTGATGTGAAAACAAGAAGTGTGACTCCAGGGACCACACTGCTAACCACAGTAAAATTAATTAAATAAAAAGGACTGCAGTAAATATACTGAACATGTTCTGGAACAGAGAAAAAGTTCACAAGTGTTTGTATCTTAGCTCACTGTAAATATGTATAATAATTGTAGTGAGACCTCAGAAAGTCATGCAGCAGTGAACAGAAAAGGAAACAATAACTTTCAGAACCTAATACATCAATTTAAAATATAACAACAAAAACAATGTATCTGTCTACAACAAGGAAATGAAGCTAGACAATATTCCAATAAGGCATATGTATCTTCCACCAAAGAAAGCTCCTCTAGAAATGGGGGAGAAAGGAAAGTCCTCTACAGTCAGCCTTGAGCATTTGTGTTCCTTACACATGCAAGGGACCGACTCTAAACTTCTCTTCTGCCAGATTCCAATTTCCAGAATGTGGTGGTACTTAGAAGAATGGAATCTATCCATCCTTTCAAATGTAGAAATTCTTGCTATGACGTCATTGAAACATGGCTGTTCAGCTTCCTCCCAGCACTGCCCTTTTTTATGTTTCTGCACAAGTGCTGGCCATGTGACAGACCTCTGGATGTTAGCACCTAACAGTGCAATACTCCTCAGGTATTTCAGAAATACATTAACTCATTCAGTTCTTGAAACACCCTTATGAGGAATGGGACAATCATCTCCATTTTACAAATGAAAATACGGAAGTGCGGAAAGGTTAGCTTGCTGCCCAAGATCCTATCTGCCTTTCAGCTGAACCCTGGGCACATACTCTTAGCTGTGCCCCTGCTGCCTCCCTTAAGTGAATGACCTACCAGTAAAGAAAGAAGAAGCTGGGCACAAAGAGAAGTCACCGAACAAATGAGGTGTTCGGCAGTGAAAGGACCCACTGCCACAACTTCTAAGTCAAAGGTTTTGCAAAATAATCCATTTGATTGGTGAGGGTCTCTGAAATGATAGAAAATGTTCCTTATATTGAGTGGAAACATCTGTTTGAAATCTTTACCATTGGTCCTTCTATACTCTCGGGACTTAATACTACTCTTCTATAAGATCATTTTAAAAAAATATTTAAAAAATGAACACACGCCTTTCAGTTCTTACTCCTTAAGCCAATCTTAAACTAATGTGATTTAGAGACCTCTGACCATGAGCAGGCTTGCTGATGTGCTCTGTGTGCTAGTAAAATTTTTCTTTGATTTCTTCCCTGTTTCTTTGAAAAATGTTTTATTTTACTTCAAATAATCATAAGGCAGGACTAGATATTAATGTGCATCAGTCAAATAATACAAAAGCATTCTTACTGCTGTGTAACACTCTACAAGGTCAGATAATAGACACTCATTCTCCTTGCCACATGATGACGTCTAGAAGTTCGTCGATAATGTAAATTAATAATCATATATGCTGCCAATACAATTATATTCATCTATCTGAAAATGTCAGGGGAAAAACTGACGAAGCTTACAACTCTTCAGTTTTTGCTTTTATACTTGCCATGACTAACACTAAAGCCGACAGTACTTCTGTCACATTTTAACTGTGAGTAAATGTGTATGTCAATAAAATTCAAGAAGTATCTTGCAACATTCCAAACAACAAATATTTCAGACAAGGATCTTACTTAAGGGTAGGCTGCATAACTAAACACAATTGCCTCCAAACAGCCTTATTTTTGAAGCACTCACAAGGCTGCTTATCAGACTGCCCAGGCAGAGAGAAACACATTCATTATTGGCCAGACCTTGAAGAAAAGATCTCACCTAGTTAAGCTGGTTTACAGCTTGAAGGTGGTTTACATGGAAAAAGTGAAGTAGTTCCGTTAAAGAGAGCCATCCACTCAGAACTGCCTACCTGATTTTTACTTTTAAGAAAGGCCACCGAAACTGGAATTGATGGTGCTATTATTTTCTTTCCATATGCATCTAGATGACTGCTTCAAAATGCAAACAACTCCTGACTTTTGCTCTTTATGTGAGTGCTGATGTTAAAGTCATTCTACTTTGAAAATATCTTTTGGAAATTGCAAAGCTACTGATGGTGAAAATTCCTTTGGTTAAAAAAAAAAAAAAAGGTAACAGGACTTCCTGCTTGAATGGAACCCCTAAGACAGATGCTTGGCAGCACATCTGGAATTGCGGCTTAGGTGAAGAGGTCAGCTTCATGCCTTAGCATGAGTCTTATTTTTGTACCAACATGCCATGGCATCAAATGCTCTCCTAGTAACCTTCACAGAAGTCTTGTCTTGCTGTGAATCTTATTAATTTCATCAGAGCCCAGGCCTTTTTAAGATAACCTGTCCAGATTAAAAGAAGACATGAAGTTCACTAGTTTTCTCAGGATTAGTCTTGCAGAGCTTGACTGACCTTGAGGTAGGAGTATTCCTTACTTTGAGATTGAAGGAAAGTACATTTTAAGAACAAATGATAGGAAGAATTACTTCCTTACTTAGCTTAGTAGACATCTGTGACCAAATAAATGAGATGTATCTTTCAACTCAAGGCCCTACAGACAAGATACCATGTTGCATACTGCCAAAAGCCCGTATGCTCTTTTAGCCAAGCAGCTATTTCAGAAGAGATAATTATTTAAGAAAACTATATAAATTTCCCCAAACACTGCAGATATCTTACGGTTACTCCTGTTCAAACTGAAGTGTGGTTTTATAATTCTATTAAACCTGATGCAGACAGCACACTGTTGATAAATCATGTTAATAATGACTTCAGTGGCTTGGTATGAACCGAAGTGTCATGAAAACATGTTTGGTTTCTTAGAATAGGTCACTTCTCAACTTCTCAGCTTGCTTTTCCAAATGTGGGATTCTTACTCTACTTGCCACTATTATCATTAACAAAGTTTTAGTGGTTGTTGCCATAAAAAGGAAAAGTTAAAATTTACGTTTTAAACGAGACACGTTGCCACATCATCAAAAAACACTGCACAATTTAAACTTCTTTTTAATGCCAAGCAAAAACTGCCTTGCGTTGTAATTTACTTGGGGCATAACTAAACTTATTTTTTCATTTTATTTGTAAAATTTAAATTTATTAAATTGTCAGGAACTAGCCTTTAATTCTTTCATTAAAGTGGTAATGAGGTCACCAGGCATTGTGGCGCACGCCTGTAATCCCAGCACTCCGGAGGCTGAGGCAGGAGGATCCTTGTGAGTTCGAGACCAGCCCAGGCTACAAAGTGAGCTCAAGGCCAGCCTGAACTGCATAGCAACAACCTGTCTCAAAAAGACAAAAAATAAATAAATAAATAAATAAAATGGTAATGAGGTCAAATTGTTTAAAAAAAGTGCACATTATCTGTAAAAGCAACAAATTTAGAATGCAATAGAATTAAATTCACATAAAACTTTGTAAGTATATATGTTTACATGCATTATTCTGGAGTAAGAAGTCATAAACCACCAAATTAAGAAGCGCTGTTCAGAAGGCCTCTGATTTACATACTTCCTCAGATGCGGTGTGCTCACTGGGATCTGAATAGCACAATCACCTTGGGACT